AAGTGCTATAAATGTATTGAGAGTTCCTCCGCGGTTGTAGCAACTGCGAGTATCTTTGATCTGTTAAAGTGGTGTCTCTTCGTCAGGAACACAAATAAATAGCAACGTGCCAAGCTAGGACATCTGCAATTTTTTTCTCAAAAGTGTTTTCTTTTTTATCTTTTCAAAAGAGTAATAGTGGACTACCACTAAGAGCGCTACCACTACAGCGCACCGTCACTAAGAGTACTAAGCTCATCAAATATGATTATGTGGTGTACAATATTAGACCAACAGACGGCCAAACAATGTTTATTTATAGAAAATTAAAAACAAAATTCATGAAATTAACAGCCTTTGCTGAATTCGATCGGTTTTCATTCAAAAACCACCAGCGCCAGGAACAGCCCCGGCAGGCGGACAGTTGCAAGGGACAATAGTCGTTTTAACATGCGCGGCATTTCTTTAAAAATTTGGTTCACTCCAAATCAAAACTTTCATAGCAGACACTTTGTTATAGAGGGGGTTTTACCCGGGGCTCCTGGTTATACTTTAATCAGTTTAATTACATGAAGCGTTATACTTTCGAGGACAAGCGAAAAGCACTTTAAAACACAAAAGACTTACTTACCTCTATATCTAAATTCCTTCGAAATTTTCTTAGCGTTTACGATTAAGCAGCTCGATGTCGAAACATTGGATCAGAACAGGAACCTAAAGCTGTAAGCATGGGAATGCTCTGAATTACAATAGTATCTGGTTGCAAGTAACCTCCTGATTCTTATAGAGGAGAAATGGAAAACCTTCCTTCAAACTGATTCTATGACCAAGCCGAAAAGGAAACTGCTACCTTCCTTAAGGGACGCTGCCACAGCCTGTCTACATCTAAACGTAATGTCCCTCGCTATGTTTCATCGGCTAATTGCATCTTCCTGTTTTTACGCATTAGTGATATTTCACATAAGTTGATAGCCAATCAGATTTGAGAATTTTGTTCTAGTTATGATAAACAGTTAATACATGGGTGAACTTTAAGTTCACCGATGTATTAACCAGCTGTAAATAGTTTTTTGACGTAATTAGCGTGCTCAAATGGGAAAATGTTGCACGCTCCCGCTATTGAATTTGATTAGGCGAATTTTCTAGCTTTGTTATAAACTCTGATAGCAAACACTCCGGTATGAAGGGGTTATACTAAATTCAGTTTCATTACATGAAACCTTATACTTTTGAGGAGAAGCGAAAAGCAAAAACCTAAATAGTTACTTACCTCTACATCTAAATTCCTTTCGAATTTTCTCAGCGTCACGATTAAGCAGCTCGACGTCGAAACATTGGATCAGAACAGGAACCTAAAGCTATAGGCATGAAAATGTTCTGAATTAATAGTATCTGGTTGCAGGTAATCTCCTGATTCTTATAGAGGAGAAATGGAAAACCTTTCTTCAAATTGATTCTATGACGAAGCCGAAGAGGAAACTGCTATCTTCCTTAAGGGACACTGCCACGGCCTGTCTACATCTCTATGGTTCATCGGCTAAGGGACGGACCATTACAAAAAAAATATTCACGCAAGGGAAAATTAAATGAAAAAATTCATGCACGCCAATTAGCCCTAAAAAATATTCATGCTATGGCCAAAAAAAAAAAATCATACAAGGAATTTGATAACGAAAAAAATTTCCTGCGGCTCGAAAATTCTCCAAACCCAACCCCCCCCCCACCCAACCTCATAACTTTTCTAATGGTCCGTNAACCCCACCCCCCCCCCACCCAACCTCATAACTTTTCTAATGGTCCGTCCCTAATTGCATCTTCCTGTTTTGACCAAGAGCCGAAGAGGTGTCCCATAAAAACCCTTTGAATCGTTCCGTTAAGGCAATATCATAAAGCACAAGTTATTTTAGTTTTGAACTCTAGTAATGAAAAGAATATTGTATAAAAAAAGATAGCATATAGGTAGCCTGCGAATGTATCGTTTCTCTCTGCGCGCCTTGTCTTCAGATTAACTTTCAGGGTGTGGGTGTTGGAAAAGCTGGGAACGAGGCAGATTGGCCCGTTAGAGCTATGCAGCTGCTTTTAAAATCTAGGTTGTCTGCTCCAAAGAGTGAAAGGACTTGTATTTCTATATTTGTGCCATGGGTGGGTGTATTTACTCAAAGCATTCCGTGTTTAAAAAGAAACAATAGTTAGTATATTATACATCGGTATAGAACGTGGTATAGAGGTGATCTGACGTCGAACAGTATTGAATTGAATTCATTGGAATTCAATTAAATCCTATCTGAAATTGTTTCGTTTAGCAGCGCTCAAAAGCCGTGTAGCACTTGCACCTGTCTTACAGACCTGACTCAGTCTAGTCCCTCATACTGGTCGTGATTTACACCATTCCCAGCCGAAGTCGCAATCGCAAGGAAAAATTCTGTAAGGACTTCTTTTCATATATTTTATTTAGTAATCAACTGCTGTTCCAGAGTGGTAAAATCACCATCCTTGACGATTGTTCTTTTTTCGCTTTCTCTTTAGTTTTGGCCTCCATATTGGCTTTTCCTTTTCAGAGTCGCTGGAGCTCTCCTCTCTCTGACAAAGCCCCTCTGCTGTAGATTGTGCTGTTGAAGTAGATACAGGAGGTGGGGGCGATTCAACAGTTACTTGCCTAGATGTGTCTTCTTGTGGTGGTGTACAAACTACCTGAATTGGGCTGTTGAACAAAGCAAATTCATACTGCTCAGTGATTCATTTGCAAGATTAATATTGATAAAATCACGGACACATAAGCACCAGGGATAATCTGGCGGCCAAGCATCATAATTAATAGACAAAATTGCGAAACTTGACGACAAAATCATTCAATTGCTTCAATCGGCTTTTAGAAAAGGAGAAAAATTGTATGTGGTGGTGTGTTTCCCGCAAAAGCGATGCTCCATCTACTGGCACCATCTTTCTGAGTAAGCACATCTAATGTAAGGGTGCATGGATATCCACTGTCGCGTAATATGGCCATTTCGTTCTCTAGAACGCATGTGTATTAGACATACGTTGGCATCTTGCTTCGTCACAATTGGCCAATTACAAAAAAAAAATGAAATTTTTGCTCCCTGGCTTACGGAATTAAAAAAAAAGAGACGATAAGGGATGAATAATATGTTTCTTTTGTTTGCTCTTCCTCAAGCCTAGGAGCCAAGAATGAGGTTTTTTTCCTTAATTTTAATATAAACTGTTCAATCAATTTCCAGCATATTTTCTTATACCCATGTAGCCTTAAACAGTTATTGCTTTTGATTGTTTTCCAAGCCCGTCTACTTTCTGAAAATGACAATCATTCAGGGAGGCTATAAATGAAAGTTTTCTCAGCAAACTCATCAGTTTGTTGATGATGATGCTTTCCTAAACCATTCACATAACAGGGATTGCGTTACCCTATTCAGTTATCCCTGAATAACAGAATCTTCTCTTTCCCTAAATAACTGGATGAATGAGAATGGATGTAAGGCGTAAAGCGCACAAATCGATCCTGCCTGTGGACTCGAGAACGTACAGAGATGACTGGCCGAAGGAATTGATCATGTCATACGTAAAATGACGTTCAGATTGAGTGATATATATTGGAAGAGATGGTACATGTTAAAGCTTGGTAATAATTAAAAGAGTTGTGACAAGAGAGGATAAAGGGGACAGAGAAGGCATCCCCCATACACACCCTATTCCATAGGTAATTCGTCTCGAGTTATTTTTAAGACACACAGATCCCAAGGGGGATTAGACAACAGCCAAACACACAGCGTGAATGTGTTCCGCGTGGATGACCCACGCTCAGAGGCACGCGTCCTTCACGAATTGACGCAGAAAAAAATGGCGGAAGACTCGGAGAGCGATATTGCTATTCGTTTTGTCGACGAAAACGACTGAAGAGAGATTTCTGCTAAAGCGGTGTCAGCGAAATGGAAATTAAAAAAAATATCGCTCTTCCTCTCTTGTATAGAGCTAACAGTACAGTAGGGAAATCCTTAACACACTGAATATTCTCTCAGGATGGTTTATAATTTACAGTTTGAAGAGAGCAATTTCTGGTTTGATATTTAAGAATTTGTTCATGCTTAGCGTGCGTATATCGAGTTATGGATGCACGCGGGAAGTTTGGAGAGCACGAAGAGGGACAAAGAGTGGCTTATATTTTTAAAAACTATGACTCCTCTAGTTTATTTTAATGTATGATAACCACGTCAAATGAGTAGTTTTATAGGGTTTATCACGTGATGAAATGACGTCACTCGGCTTTCTACAATGTCAAATAAATGTACATACATACGTTTTTCCTTATGTTTTTACCCATTTTTGGGGAACACGTTTAGATGATTGAATGGTACCACTGTTTTGCAAGTGATTTTCGAGGCTTTTGTAGCAAAATTAGATGAATTCTGGTGTTTGTTGCCATGGTAACATAAAAAAGTAGCCCTTTGAATCAGAGGGTCGATAATTACTAAAGTAATAAAGATGAATTGTTTGAAAAAACTGTTAAATGATAGTTCTAGATGACAACTGGATACTAGTTTGACTCAGGTGTTATAACTACCTATGAGGCCGCTATACTATGACATTACCTTTTTGGCGGCCACATTGGATCCGCCATCTTTGATTTTCAAACATGCCAATTTTGTCCCCTGAAGTGCCCCAAAACGATCAAAACTGGAAGGAACATGCAAAATCCTCATAATTCAAGTTGTGAAAGAAGCTGCTCTCAAAACTATAAACTAAAAATCCATAGTTGCAAACTCTTCCGGCAAAAGCATTAATTGTGGTTTTTCTGCGAAGCCATAGTTTTTGGACGTCCGAGGGTAACATGCAAAACGTTATAATTCCTCTTACAGTGATCATTTGTTTTTATGTATTTTGGGTGCACATTTAGCAAGTCATATGTTTAAATGTAGCAGCGACTAGCAATGACTGTATTCTTCTGTGGGCAATATATCATGTCGACAGCCAAGGGAAATATGCTGAGAAACAGAATCAGACCACATATTCTAGTCCTCGTCACTCTCGTCATCATCGGCATCGACGTCTACTGTGACAGCTTGTTCTTCTCGCCTGTTATCACACTCGGATAGCCGGCACATGTCTGTGCACTTAAGACCATTTGCGAGGCAGCTGCAGTTCGGGAGCCTACAAGATCTTGTGCAAGAACAAGAGAGTAGCTCTAAAACTGTTGCAGGAGCTGGCTGACCACTCATCCAATCAATCCCTAACTTGTTCTCATCCTGAATCCAGCCATGTCTTAAGGGACTTGGAATTTCAGGGCAGTTCTCAAGACTTCGCCTCCAGATCCCTGTTTGATAGTTTGCTCGACACGCATGTTTATACAGGCAATCAGCACAAGGTGGTAGTTGGTCGGACTCGATGTTACCTCTCTTTGAACAGAACAATCTATATCTTAGCTCATTGATGCTGTTTGTTCCTGGGCGGGAACTGTACATACGACAGGTGAAATTCTGAAGCATCTGAAATAGATCATCTGAGAGTTCCCATTCCACTCCTAAGAGGTCAAACATTTCCTGAAAGGATCTCTGTTCTTTAACGATTCGAAGTGCACCAATCTTACCCCGCCCAGCAAAAGCACTCACGGTGTCGCAACCAGTATAAGCGTGCATGCCAAGGAGACTGCTGCACAAATTTTGACCAAGGGCTTGCACTATACTCGTAATGCTGATGTATCTAACTCTTGTTTGTGTTCCACACTTAAAAAATATTGACGACGGAATTAAGTGCTTGAATGACACACAAAGAATGAAGACATCTGTATCTTCTGATGCCACAATCAATGTGTTGTAATCTGATCTGGCTGCATGAGAGAGATGAAGAAGAATCCTTGTATCAGCTTCTTCTTGTGTTGAGCTAAGTTCTTCAACGGTAAAGGCAGCCTCTGGTGAGATTTGGTGACACTCTTCTTCACAGGCTACAAATAGGACCTTGTCTGTGAGCTTTCTTCTATACTTGTCTTGTTGCCATTCTTTGGTCACAAATATTGTTAAGGCTTTCTTATTCTGCGGATTCAGAAGGAACTTTCTCCACTGCTGCACCTTATGGTCGGGTTGGAGATTTCTAAATTCATTTCCATACTCAGCTCCTCGATGCTCTCTTTCCGTATTCTTAATTGAATTCTCTCTATACACATCGAAGATAACGTCAATTCTCTTCGAGGACGCACCCTCATGTAGAACCATTCCAAACAAGGAGTCAGCAACATCTGAAAACTTCTTATGGTCACCTTTCAACCTTTGCACTAGTACCATGCCATCTATGATGCATGCAGATGGCTGAGGAATTTCCTCCGCAGCAGGTACATTCTTTTGCAGCTCCTTTGCTAGTGCTGCTTTGCTGGTTTTCCGTAGTGACCCATCTACTGTGGATAGTGCCCAAGGAAGAGGTCCCAACGGATGACAGAGGACATCTCTCATGTGAAGTTGTCTGTTTTCTGCAATTATAACCATTTGACCAAAAAGAGCTCTATCAGCTTTTAGGATGATCTCATTTGCTGTTTTGCTCTTGAATTTCACCTTCTTGTTAAGATCAGAGAATGTCTTCAGCTTTGATTTCTTCAGGGTCTCGTGAAATTTGACTGGTGGATTTGCCTCCAAGCGCTGTGCACGAAATTCTTTGTATGCCTTTTCCCCAACAGATTTTGCGCCCAACAAGTCTTCCTCTATCTTTTGGGTGGCAACCTTTCCGGTTGACAAGCATACCAGATCCTGCTGTTCAGCACTGAATGGGTTTATCCAGTTGCTTTCTAGCATAGCAATCAGCGACTTCACGTCAGCCTCGTCTCTTACAATTCTTGTTTTTTGAAGATCAGTATGCCCAGAATTGGATTTGCTTAGATTTAGCATGTCCCTCAGCTGCTTCAAAAAAATACTGCGAAATTCAGACACTATATAATACTTGCTAACTGCTCCTGCTTTAAGACTGAAGCCTTTGGTGCCCCCGGCTGTCTGGGTGTCCTTATTGACCGTCTCCTCGCATGTTTGATCAACTGGAACCCTACCAAAGGGGTTTTGGTCGCCGATCTGGACCGAGAATCCACCAGACTTAAGAAATTCATGAGCCTCAGGATGGGTCTCTTCGAGGTGGGTCATCTCAGACAGGTATGCAGGTAAATAGCGGGCATAATTTACGTTATCATAGGCAAAGCACCATGGTATCATTTGTTCAATGGCTGATAAATGTAGCTCCCAATGTCCTTCTCTTGATGCTCTCACCATATTCAGCAGAATGTCAACGAGATCAATGTATGACATCCAGAAACTAGATAGTTTCCCGTTGTTATTGCGTAGATAGTCAAGGTACATATCGTACAGTGTGATAAACTCTGGGAAACTTTGACTATCCAAGACCCTCTGTTGTTCCTTTTGGCACAGGTTGTCGTATAAAGGTTTCAATCCGGCAAAGAAATCTTGGATAAACTGTTTCTTCTCGGGGAACTTTACTTCTACCCACGTCTGAAATCCTTTCCAGATAAGTCTTTGGAGTGCTTCATACATCAGTTTATGAAACCTGACAGCACGGTTGTATCTACGTCCTTCAAGAACTCCTGTCACAGAACCTTCAGCAATTACCCCTGATTCAATGCAAACGTCCCTTAAACCAGCGTCTTGGAATCTCTTTCCGATTATGGAAAGAAGTGTGCACACTGTATGGAAGACACCCATCCGAATAACAATATCTGAAAACTTGTCTGGATGTTTCCAAGCTATCTCTGTTGCCTTGGCATACAGAGCTTGATCAAATACGAGTACTATGCTCTTCAGTTCAAGAGCTTCTCTGATCTTCTGGGAGCGGACCAAAATCTCATGAACAGTTGACATGCTAGTGGCAGGTGCATCAATGGTGGGGAGGTATCCGATATTGTCTTGACGAGCCTCAATTTCGTTGCGCACCAAAATGTTATAGCCAGTCCATCCACTAACTTTCTGGTTCATCTGTGCATGTAGGCGCACTAAAACCCACAAAAGGGTTTTTCTTCGGGCATTTTCTAACGCTTCCTGGTCGTTTACTTCAACATATGCCCTTGGCTTAGGGCCTTGACGTTCACCTGCATTGTAAATGGGTAGAGCAACAACATCAAGTGGTTCAACACTCCTTTGCTTACTTTTAGTGATCCCAGGTGGCTGCTCAGTGAGGGGATGGGGGCCAAAATGTCTCGCCTGTACTGCTATGCCGTTTACACGGTGTGAAGTGCCTTCACCTGAAAGAGTCTCTTCTAGTCGGTCAATATTATCCCATGCTAATGTGGTACTAACATGAGGTTGTATATTGGCAGGTAGAGGAATTTCACTTGTTGTTGTTGCCATTTTCTGCATACAAAGAGCAGTGTTAATTTCCTCAAGCTGGGAATAAGAAATACCATGACCATAACGGTTTAGTATAGACACTAGCTCAACATTGTTTGTGAGAGTTTTTACAGCATACGAGAGAAGAATTTGTTTAGGCGGCTTAATCCTCCCTCTGGTTACTCCGAATACTAGGTCTTGCGCGAACGACTTCATCAACCGCTGGACTCTTTGACAACATTCTCCCTCTGACGAATCTTTGTTGCCAGTTAGCAAGGTATACAAAAACGCACTTAGCTCTTCAGGGACCTCTATGGCGCTGTCATTGAGCTCTGAGGGGCGCGGTGGCCATGACATTTTGCTTTCTTCGTTTCGAATGGCATCGCGGATGTCAGCTGCAGCTTTCTGAATATTTGAGATCTTTGTTGTTGAGCCTTTGTCTTCTTTTTCTGCCATAAGGATATTTAGTACATTTCTGGCGATTTGCACTGGTGTTAGGCTAGCAGGGATTAGGAATACACGGTTGTTGTCTAGCAAGTTTTCAAACTTGATCAACTCATTGAATTCTGCTTCTATGTTCCTTTTGATATGCTTCTTTGTTGATGGCTTACATTCCTTAGCTTCTAATGACATTAGATACTGTACAAGTAACTGCGTCATCTCAGACAGCCTTACGACTTTCTCCTTTTCTATTACATCTGACCTGATGAAGTCAAAAAGCATCTGGTAAGCATCAGACTCTAGACGGGCATATTCATCATCCGGAGATTCACTGCTCATATCAGGGTTCACAATGCTGCTTGCTTCTGGTCTAGTGTAACTCCTGTAGCATGTCCTGTGATAACAAGCCTCTGCTGCAACTAATTCGCGCGACACAAGGGCAAGAATCTTGCTGTCATTCTTTTCTGTAGCTATCTTTCTGATAGAGCTATCTGCACGCATATCTCGGCATTGTACTAAAGGCTCACGATTCCTTGTACCCTTGAAATATTTTGGCTTTTCACAAAAAATACAAATGCGCTCGTATGTTGTGGAAATATTGGAAGATCCTCGAATAGAGACTCTCCTAGCCACTTTTTCCGGTTGAGTCTGGCTATTGGATGATTGCTGGGATAATTTATCTAATAACTTTTTCATTGTAAAAATGCTTCGACACTTTCGATGGTAGTAAATGAACGGGACTTCTCCTTCGCTTAAAGACTTCGAAAGTTCTAGGATTTCTTGATGATTTCGAATCTCTGCTGCTCGTAGCAAGGTTTTCCACGACTCCTCGTCTTTAGGATTAACTAAATCACTGCTATCGTCGGTGCAGTGAATGATACACTTCTTCTTGCAGAATCGTTTGACTGCGGCATTTGACTCCTCAGCATCATCAACACTTCTCTTAGATGAGGACCCTATTTGTATCAGATGAATATTTTTTTCAGCGCTTAAGTTGCAATGCAACTGCAACTGCAACTGAGACGGGGACATAACAGCACATACGTTATATTATAATTTACGAAACTCTGGACTTCCAAAAGGTTTTTTTTTCACCATAGCGGTGCCACGATTTGGAATGAGTTACCACAAAAAACATACGAAGAATAACATCGCTAAGTCAATTCAAAATGGAAATAAACCTGTTAGCTCTCTAGTTTTCTGATTCCCGGCACACGGTAATCATGTAAGCCATTCAGGTATGTGTAGTCTTTATATCCTTTTTACTTCACTTATCTTTTTTAGACTGATGATTTTAGCGTGTTTAAAGAAACCATATGCATGTATGCATTAAAAATGGCATATCATTTGGAATTTTCATTACCGAATAACCGATAATTCAAATAATGTTGACTGCAACAGGTTGATTCCTAAAATTAGATTATATTTCAAAATTTATAAATATATAAAAAGATGTGTATGATCGACATGAGCAAAAATTATGCATTCAATTTCTATCGGATTATCGAAGTGAACATTCTACAAGATCTGTAAGTATTTCCTAAATTCTGCTTATTAAGTCAAAACTTCAAAGACTTTTGCCTCAAAAAGTTTAAGCGCTTTATTAACTAGATGATTTTGCTGACTTTTTCGTGAAATTATTGCGTTTTACACGGTAAAATGGCTATTAATACGGCAAATCAAGAACCCACTCACCTTCCATGGTAGCCGCCATTTTGGATTTTACCCATAATGCTATTCGAAGGCTACTTTTGAGTTTTCCTCGCTCTACTTTGGTTAAATTCAGAACAATTAATATTTTAGCGATAAAAAACTTAACAAAAAAACTTCTCATGTCTCTCATAATAAATTAAACTACAAAACATATAGAACATATTAAGTGCACATTTAGTTGGCCTGGTTGGTATCTCAAAGGTCATTTCCGGCACTTTTACACGAAAAAAATACCCTGAAAGCTACTCCTACAGAAAGGTTATCATACAAATTTTCAATCTCCACTTTATGTGCTATCAATTTGCAGCAATCATCCTTTGTCCCTCGAGTTGGTACCAAAATCACGATTGGCCCATGGACAGATGCGTAAGAGTTGCACGAGGCGATAGCCGAGTGCAACTCTAGCTTCTTGAGTGCTCTCCAAACTTCCCAAGTGCATCCATAACTCGATATACGCACAGCTAAAAGCATGAGCAAATTCTTTTATAACATAGCTGACAAAAATGCTTGCTTTTTGATGAACTGCAAAATTCTCGTAACGCGCTACACAAAAACAAACGGTTCTATTGGCTGATTACGAACACGCCACAATCGTCTAGTTTGAATGAAAATATTCTTTCTGTAAAACTGAGATAGAAAATTTGCTTCTTTATTCGTTAACGATCAATGGAAACTAAGCAGAAACAAAGGTAAAAGAGTCTTAAAGTTCACCTAAAGTTAAAATCCTAACATGTTCGTAAGAAGTCGTGGAGTATGGTTTGGATTTGATTTTGGATTTGCTGAAAAGATGTTTACGTTTTGCTCGGCGAAATCCAGAAAACATGTTTTTAGCGAAGACGACTGTCATCCTTCTTTAAACTCACATTCATTTACGAACATTGGCTGGTCATTACGGCTTCTTGAGAAGACCTGGCAGCAGTTGTTTTTGTGAGTAATAAATTTATGTCTCTTCTTGTGTAATTTGTGTTGTTATTGCGAGAGAAATTTTCCTGCTTCAGTCGGATTGTCCGGAGATAACAAAAGTGCATAACAAATTTAAACCAACAATAAAAGCGGAAATTTTACCGTTAAAGGTTGTTGATGACCAGTTGATGTCTGTTCTGTCCCCAGTGAATGTCTTTCGGCCAAAATTTGCTGCAGCTGGTCTTTCGACAAATTTGCGAAACGCGCAACTTGCGAGTTTTTTTTTTTTAATTCGACTTTATTTTTGCTGCTTGTTGGATCAGGATCTAAAAGGTCAATGCCGATAGAAAAATTGGGCAGTTCTTCGCTGGTTTCTTCCATATTTTAAAGAGAAGGAAAACTGCACTGCAGCTTAAAAGACGACAACTTTGCAGCCAGGTAAAAAAAAATGCTGACGTCATCTTATTTACGCACGGGCGTGCGTAAATAAAGATTTTGTTCATAGCGGCTCAATAGGACTTATATAGGGCAAGCACGCGCGCTATGTTATAATTATTCTTTTATTATTCAACAAAATTAATACTTGGCGTCCTACTTGCTTTATTGTACAAACGACCGGTTTCAATAGACCAGCGAAATTTCTCATTTTATTAAAGCACTGAGATTACGACAACTTCGAGTTAAACTGATTTGATGGGTTGTCAAAGAGTCCAGCGATAATCTTTTCTCAGGTGAGCACCGACTCATTTCGCTTCAATATTGAGAAATGCTCTCGATCTCTTTACGTTTTCATTGCCTTTCGCCCGACATGTTTTCCACGGCGTTTAGTCATGCGAAACCTCCACGAAACATCCACGCAGCGCGCGAGGTAACTTTATCCCGATTCTAAAAATAACTCGAGACGAATTACCTATGGAATAGGGTGTATATGGGGGATGCCTTCTCTGTCCCCTTTGTCCTCTCTTGGTTGTGATAATCGCTACTTAAAAATATGGAACAAGGGGAAAAAACTTGAGTTCCTAGATGTTCGAGTATTAACGACCTTGAACATACGGCGAGTATATTCAGAAAGCTACGTACCGAGAGACAAATTGAGAACTGCAATACTACTAAAATCGGCATTGTCATGTAGAAAGCATACCGTGGTGATCAAAAGAGGAGAGTGAAACCTGCCACCCATCTTTATTTATCCCTCTACAGTACGCTCTCGTCATTACCGTAAGTAAGTAACAGCTTTATTAATGTGTCCATGTATTTAGTTTACACAGCTAATTGGGGACACAACAAAATAAAATTAAAATTATTTAAAATTAAGAATTAAAGAATGTATATACAATCAAATATGTAGCATGTATAAATGGTACAATAAAACAATAGGTACAATCCACTCCTGGTAACTCGAACCCTCTATAACTCAAACCTCCCGTTAACTCGAAGTAATTTTCAATTCCCTTCGAATTTCCCATATAATTTTACCCTCAATAACTCGAACTCCCGATAACTAGAACTTTTTTCTATTTCCCTCGAAGGTTCGAATTATCGGGGGTCGACTGTATATAAAAGGGAGTCTCTGAGAATTGCAAAGGTTACAGCAGTAACAGTTGTTATTTTAAGAGTGACGTTAGGTCTTTTTTTCCTACTGTTTTTTTTTTTAAAGATTCAATATTCGAGGAGCCTTCCAATTTATTATCTAGTTTAGACCATATATGAGGTCCTTGGTTTTCCATAGTTCTTAGCAACATTTATGACTGATACGCTTCTGGTAAGCTAGCCGAACGCGAGAGGGTGTTGGGAGAATTCGAGACAGTTATGCAATCCGCGTTGCCATTAAATGAAAATCTCCGCAGCTCTGTGCTTGGAAACATAGGTTCGAATCCTGTCAGCGGCTAAAAATTTTTTCTAGGTCCCATGCTTAGCATGAAGTGGTAATTTTTGCATTTTTCTTGCACTGACGCATGCAAGCGAGCTCTCCATTTGGGAGCTTACCCTCGTGAGAATTCATCACTTTCGCCTCTCGCTCGCACTTTCTCTCCCGGCCTTTTTTTGGCACGCTACTTCGAGAAATCATGCTTTCGCACTAATACATGTTACCACTTACCGTTGGAGTTGTGAGCCACGTAGGTAATCCTCAGTCTGAGTATCATAGTGATACCGTTCGAAAAACCGGTACACGATGCATGCATAGGAGTGGACAGCTAATAAAAAGATGCAGACATAAAAAAGCTCCATTCCAGTGCAATTTTTGACTCTATACCGTACGGTATTTAGTACACCTGCAAAATCAACGAGTGAAAGGAGGTGAATGAGGTGGTAAATGTAGCCACGCTTCCTTAGCTCAAGGTTCCTGTCGGTCCTCGAGGTTTTCACAAAAATTGCGCAAGTTGTAGAGTAATTAAGCTAAAGCTTGAGTTTTGTGACTTGACTATGATATAACCATTCAAATTAATGGAGGGCAAGCCTTTTGATTCGTTTAATAATTAGTAGAGAGAGGTTTGGCCTTCCACTGAGCCAATGTCCTCCAGATTTGTATGTAGCAGACATTGCAATATGCCTGGCCCAGTTGAGAAGAGAGTATACTTCAAACACGTGCATACCGTTGCCTAAACTTTAATTTAACCGTAATTTATCGAACTTAATCGGAATAGAGCCACGACACAACTCATTTCTTCTCCTGTGAAACGCAGCTGAAGAGTTTATCAAAGTTCTTTAAATTTCACTTACTTTCCAAGCAGCTGTTGCCGCTTAATTCACCGTCTGTTATTAAGCTACACCAGTCTGTAGTCATTTCTGATTAGTTGTCAGATCAATCCGGCTAAGATCAAAACGTCTTTCGAGCCTCAGTGGTTTCAACTGAGACTTTTTATCGGAAACCTTCGGTCAAGCCTTTTAATTAGTGCTTAAAAGACTGAAAGAGTATCACCTTTAAATAAGAAATTTATCTTCAAATACAAAAAAAAAAAAGTTTTCCGAAGAAGCCAACAACTTCTTCATATCAACGGCCAAAGCGCGTGCATGTTTCGCTTGGAAATAATGGCGTAAGAATGGTGTAATGATGTCATCAACTTGCCGCATGGAGACCGTTTAGAGTGTAAATTTAGGGTTGTTTTTCATGAGAACTCCTATGCTTCGTCCACATTTAACACAGAATAAGAGGAAGCCAGCCTTCGAATAACCTAGAGTACGAAAAAGTGAGCTTATTCAGTTTTGTTAGAGATACCGTAAAATTCCGAAAATAAGCCCTGGGGCTTATATTTTTCAAAGGCCCTTTTTGAGGGGCTTTTTTTGGAAGGGCTTAGATACGGAGGGAAATTTCAAAATCGGTTATATAGGCTTATACTTGGAGGGAAACTTGCATCTCAAAATCGATTGGGCTAACTTATAGTTGGAAGGAAATTTACGTCAGTAATTTTCAAAAG